GATGCTGATGAGGGGGAGGCTGAGGGGGAGGAGGAGGAGGAGAATGAGGAGGACGACTAGGAAGACGAACAGGAGGAGGAGGAGGAGTCGGAACATGAGGAGGAAGAGGAAGGATGTGGAGGAGGAGGTGGAGGAGGACTGGAGAAGGATGACGAGGTGGAGGAGGAAGAGGAAGGATGTGGAGGAGGTGGAGAAGGATGACGAGGAGGAGGAAGAGGAGGAGGAGGAGGAGGAGGAGGAGGAGGAGGAGGAAGCGGAAGACTAGGAGGACGAGGAGGAGGATGAGGATGAGGAGGAACAGGCGGAGGAGGAATCTGATGAGGTGGACGAAGAGGAGGAGGAAGAGGAACCGGAAGGAGGATGTGGAGGAGCAGGAGGAAGAGGAAGAGGAGGAGGAGGATGAGGAGGCGGAGGATGAGGAGGAGGAAGAGGATGAGGAAGAGGAGGATGAGGAGGAGGAGGAGGAGGAAGAAGGAAGCGGGATGAGGGAGGTTGGGGGAGGGAGGGGGGAGGAGGTAAGAGGTAGGTGGGCGGATGGAGGAGGGAGGGGGGATGAGGGAGGGGAGGGGGAGGGAGGAGGGAGAAGGGAAGGACGAAAGAGGAGGGAGGAAGGAAGAAGGCGGAAGGCGGATGTAGGAGGGTGGAGGCGGAGGCGGAGGCGGCGGAGGGGAAGAGAATGAGGAGGAGGAGGAGGAGATGAGGAGAAGGAGAATGAGGAGGGGGAGGAGGAGGAGGAACAAAAGGAGGAGTAGGAAGAGGACGAAGAAGAGGAGGATGAGAAAAGAGAAGATGAACCGCCTGCCCGAACTGCCGAGCCGCCTTCCGCCGCACAAGACGGCATTCTGGGGGCTCTCGGGCGGCTGCTACGCCCTCCCTTCGTGGGCAACCGCGCCTTCCCTTTCTTGTATTGTAGCCATGAGCCGCCATGCTCTCATCAACAATAGGTTTTGTCGACCTTGCAACGGCATGCATCAGAGGAATGGTTTCATATCTACCCGAACCACAAAACTCAGAATTCGATGCCGTAGAGTTCACCTCTTACGCGCAGAAAGTGTCACGCAACGGTTCAACTATTGTTTGCGTAGCGGTGTACAACAATACTGCCAACAAGAAACACATCAAAGTTCGGTACAACTATCCGCAACATACACACTAAAGCAACTCGATTCTCCCGCCAACTATACCCAGCGTTCATAGGTTTCTGGCCCCTGTACTAAACCACTGTCAGTCGCCGCCTCAGTGTACACCAATGCTTCATCCAGCTGCGAATCAAGTGGGCTCCTTACACACTCCGACCACCACGCCAATCATCAATTCAGCTGGGCCGCGTGCGGCAACCAGTCCAGAACGCGTTGTTGTTGTTGAACCTCTGCCTTTCACATCCACTGATACAATTGATTGCAACAAAGACAGCTGGGACACCATGGTCACCAAGCCAAAGGACACTATTACACATGCCAGGTCCAATAGAGCAGAGCAGGAGGTTGCAAGAGAAGGTGGATGTCCTGAGGCGCTGTCTTTGACGCCCTCCGAAACCCACGCAGCAAACGTCACTTGTAAAGTTGACTGCGCAGATACGATCGAACTCGTATCAGCAAGTGCAGCAGCGGCAGGGGAGGGTGGAAACCCCGAGGTGCTGCTCACGACACCATCGAAACCCACAGAAAAGCTGAAGTTCAACGCCCTGACGGAAACCAAGAGCCAGGGGACAACATTGTTCTGACACAACTATCCAGGGGCACACGTGCGGTCGTCCCCGCAACTGGCGTACCACTATCTGCTCGACGCGTACGGCAAGAGGTGTAATGACACCGACGACATTCCTGACATGTTGAACAATTGGTGCCAGCAGGCCATTGGCGTGATCCAAAAAGAAAGGGCTCAACTTGTACAGCTCACCTTGGCTTTACTGCCAAGCGAATGTGAACACGCAGAAGATCAGTCTTGCGAGTGGCTCACTGTCGGACAAGAAATTCACTTAGGCAGTGAATACGTTGATGCAGAGATTTGTCATTCATCGTTTCAAAGATGGTACGACAAGACAGGCCGATAGGTTATTGCACAATCATGTTCAGTTGTCATCATTTGTAGCATATTCTTCCTGATCGCCATCTGCAAGTGAGGCCCCAGTGGGCACCATCTTCCGAGCGTTGTCTCTGCGTCGTGAGCGTTAGAGGTTGAGTGGGGGGCTTGTGGGTGTAGGAAGAATGTGACGTTGGAGGGACATGAGATGTTCGAGCGCTGACCGCGGGCTGCAGACCAGAGTAGCGCTGTTTCCCGCCTGCGTGGTGCATTTCTTATGTTTGGAAAAGCATCAGCGCAACAGTATTTCTTTCCAATCGGGAAGTTCTTGCTGGGCCCCTGGCGAAGAGGAGGCGTGGCTATGAGAGGAGGAAGACACGGTAACGCGACGGCATCACGTCATGCCTGGCTGTCCCAAACCGGCTGGACACATAAACTGCACAACCACAATACGTTTGCCTCAATCGTGCTATCGATGAAACTACCGTGCCACCCGTGCCCTTACGAATTTCAAGTTCAACTTACGCTTTCGAAGCCACATCTCAACACTCGTAGGCCTGCGAATTCCAGACTGTTCGAGTCAAATGGCCCCGAACGGTCTTTTCAACAGCTGAGGCATCTTACTACCAGCTCTTTGGAGAGAGGAGGTGGTGGTATATCAGTTCATGAGAGATGAGGGGGCGGATATCACCTGAGTTTTTACTCTGCCACGCCAACCTGCCTGCACATAAGCAGTAGGTCGCCAGCTTATGCGTCGATCCAATGCGACAATTGCGCCACACGTTGGTGCCAAACAAGTCCGCCTGTGCAAACTGTGCCAGCCTTACAGTGTATACACTGCTTAGCTTCGCTGCCCCTATCTGTGCGACGGGCGGTGAGGAGTGATGGAGGGGGATGTGGGGGACCAATGCCTCGTTCCGTAGGCCCTCTCACCTCTGTATGTGCACATTGCGGCGTTGTACGTGCCGCCGCCAGCAGCATTTCAGGGGGGGGAGGTGGTGGTACTGAGAGGCGTAGCTACTGTAACCCTCGGTGGGGGCAATCGCAGAGAATAGGTTCGCAGACGTTTCTGCTTAACTAACTTTTCACATCGCAGTTTCTTATCAAGCGCCGCACTTTCTTCATCATTTTTATTACTTCCTCCTCCTCCTCCTCCTCGTCATCATCATCATCATCATCATCATCATCATCATCATCATCATCATCATCATCATCATCTTCTTTTTCATCTTCGGCCTCATCGCAATCCGCATGCATGGCTTCAACGGGTATCATTTTCCGCGAGCTCGCTGTTTGTGCTGGGGGATGTGGAGGTGGTGGGTTGGCTGGTGAGAGCGGCAGAGGAGGAGAAGACGGCGATCCTTGCGGGCCTTCGGCTGCTTCCTGTGCAACCCGTGGTGGAACGAGCACCTTGATGTTGCGGCGTATGTTCGAGCGCGGCAGCTCTCGAGACGAACAACGGCTGAGTGTAGACCCGCTCCTCGGTCCACTCCGCCTCCACACTCCTGGCCACGGTGGTGGGCCCTTGAGGCACGAGGCCACCTCTGCAGACCACGGGGTCGGCATCTCTCCGCTGTTCTGTGCGCAGGGGAGGCCGTTCCTTTCTGCCACCAGTCTACAGTCATCGGCCTGACCTAAGGAACGATACATAAGGAACGAAGCCCCTGTTTTCCAAGGGAAAAAGCATAAGGAACGATAAAGAATAAAAAACGCATAAGGAAGGATACGTAACGCATGCAAGCCTTAAGGAACGACCGAGCCCCTTTTGAAAAGTAAGTGTTCCTTACTCAAGCCGCTCACTGTAGTGCCCGAGGCGCGGAGGGGGCGGCGTGGATGAGGTGGTGGAGGTGGTGGTTATGAGAACTGGCGGGGTGGGGCGTAGTCGTGTTGACATATCCCTGAACAGCTGGGCGCATGGGCTCAGCCCTGACTTGCGGACGCAACGCAACAATCCAATCCACCTATGATGAAGCCGCCGGAACGCATGCCGAGCTGCCAGAGCAGGCACTGCTTCATGGTCGCACTCAGTGGGCCTCGTTTCACTAGCCCTGGCATTTTTACCTAAACCGCCTTAAATTGAGGGGCTCGTGGGGGGATTTGTGATTTTTCTTGGTGGAAGAAAGCACTCACATACCGTGCGTGTCGACCGCTGCAAGCGTGTTGACCGCCGAGACCTTCAGCCTCGGTACCGTTTCAATCCAGCTCGACGGGCATCAGTACGTTGGCCCGAATCGAGCCTAGGGAATAAGAACTCAGGCCCTGTGCACTGTAGGCCTTCGTTCAGGTCCACACATGCTCTTTTGGAGGGTCGGGTAGAGTGGAGGGGTACAGATGAGGGGGGAGAGTCGTCCGTGCCACACCCAGGCGCTCAGCATACCCTTGAATCTCTGCTGCTCCCAACTGTCTTGCATATCTTGATTCTCGCCGATTTGTTACATTTGATCAAACGCCGAGCTCCGACCAGTTTGTTCGCGCATCGCTGACATCAAGACGCGGCAGCTCTGGCAACTGATAGTTTGTCCAAGGTAAAAGATGATGATGCTGATGATGATGATGCTGATGATGATGATGAGGAGGATAAGGAGGAGGAGGAGGAGGAGGAGGAGGAGGAGGAGGAGGGGGAGGGGAGGAGGAGGAAGAGGAGGTGGAGGATGAGGAAGAAGAAGAAGATGATGATGCTGATGATGATGATGATGATGAGGAGGAGGAGGAGGAGGAGGAGGACGGGGACGGGGACGGGGGACGGGGGACGGATGATGATGATGAGGAGGAGGAGAGGAGGAGGAAGAGGAGGAGGAAGAGGAGGAGGGGGAAGAGGAGGAGGAGGATGAGGAGGAGGAGGAGGAGGAGGAGGAGGGGAAGGAGGAGGAGGAGGAGGAAGAGGAGGAAGAGGAGGCGGAGGAGGAAGAGCATGATGAGGAGGAGGCGGAGGAGGAGAAGGACGAGGAGGAGGAGGCATGGAGATGGGGGATGGGGGCCTGTGGTCCGCGGGGGCTGGGGCCCTCATCGTCGCGTTCCAGCCGAAGGGGCCAGGCAAGCCGCCCCAGTCGCCGATGAGGTACACGTGCCGCTGGCCGTCCGCAGTGGCGGGCTGCTGGGAGACGCTGCGTTTCCCTGCGCCTTGGCTCCTCCCTACCCCCTCCGCCTCCCTCCTCCTTTCTCCTCTCTCCTTCCTCCTTTCTCCTTCCCGCCTTCCTCTTTCCTTCTCCTTTCCCTCCTTTCCTCCCTCCTTCATCCTTTCTCCTTCCTCCTCCTTCTCCTGCTCCTCCTCCTCCTGCTCCTCTCCCCCGTGCCGACGCCATTCAATACTTGGAAAGGGATAAGCCCAGGGGGCGCACGGGGCGCCACTAAGAGTTCCCTAAACTCGAAGAGCACCCCTGAGTAGCCCCTTGTCCACTGAATGGCTGGAGTGAATGGCTAGTTGACAGTGGCCTATGACTTTCTGTCCCCACACTCAGTGCAGGCACGCCCCCCCCCCAGGAGGTAGGCCTCATGGGCCTGGATGCCCATCCTTGTCGATGGGCAAACACGGGCACTCGCCACTGGTGCCTGAAGCAAGGGCGGCAGTGCCGGCTATCGTGCATCCTCAGATCCTGCGTGTTTACCTTCGTCGCGAGGCAATCGCCTCAAGGACACAGCCTGGCGGCAAGGCCGGCGGTCCTGCACGCTCGCATATCCCTAATTCTTACACTTCGTTTCCTATGGGCTCTGCCTGGTACAGTGCCAGTTTGCGAGCATTCGCTGACTTGGCGCATACCCCCATCGCAAGGCAGATGCCTCAAGGGCGTTACCAGGCGGCAAGGACGGCGGCCCTGCACACTCTTACTTCGAACCGATACCCATACCAAAAGGTTCGTCCTCTTTTGGGCGCTGGCTGGCGGCAGTCAACCATCGTGCGTGCGCAGATCGCTCCTGCCCGTCGCGAGGCCGTTGCCTCAAAGGCGTTGCCTGGCGGCACGGCTGGCGGTCCTGCACATTCTCACGTGTAACTGATAACCAAGCTCGTTTCTTTTTGGACACTGGCTGGCGACAGTGCCAGATTTCGTGCATCCGAAGGCACAGATCGGCGGACAGGCCGGTGGTCCTGAACCCTCTCACGTCGAGCCGCTTCCAAAGTTCGTCCCCTTTTGGACGCAAGCTGGCGGCAATGCCAGCCATCGTGCGCCCGTAGATAATGACCGCCCACACACGTCGCGAGGCTGTTCAGGGACAAAGCCTGGCGGCAAGGCCGGCTGTCCTGTGCGCTCTCATGTCTCTCCAGTCACCATGTTTCGTTTTCTTTTGGGCGCTGGCTGGCGGAAGTGCTTGCTTTCCTGCGTCTGCAGTCTCTGCGCGCTTGTCCATGTCGTGAGGAAATTGCCTCAAGGACGCAGCCTGGCAGCAAAACGGGCGGTCCTGCGTACCCTCGCGTAGCCCGTGTTACCACGGCTCGTCTCCTCTTGTACGCTGTCTGGCGGCAATGCTGTTTTTCGTGCGTCCACAAATTCTGCATTTGAAGTACCGTCGCGAGGTAGTCACCTTAAGGACGTTGCCTGGTGGCAAGGCCGGCGGTGCTGCACGCCAGAAGTGCTCTGGAACTCACAAATCGTCTCCTTTGGATGCTGCCTGGCGGCAGTGCCAACTTTCGCGCATCCGTAGATTCTGCGCGCATGCCCCAGTCGCGAGGCAGATGTCTCAAGCAAGTTGCCTGGCGGCAAGGCCGGAATTCCTGGCCGCTCTGACGTCGAACCGCTACCAAGGTTCGTCTCCTATTGGACGCTGTCTGGCGGCGATGCTGGCTGTCGTGCATGCCCAGATTCTGCTTGTTTGCCCTCGTCGTGAGGCAGTCGGAAGTCGCCTCAAGACACAGCCCGCCGACATGGCTTGCGGTCCGGCACGCTCACATTGCCCTGGAACTCACACTTCGTTTCCTGCGGGGCTGGCCTTGCGACAATGCCAGTTCACGAGCATTCGCCGATTCTGCAGGCCCGCCTCCGTCGCGAAGCAGATGCCTCAAGGTGTTGCCCGGCGGCAAGGCTGGCGGTCCTGCATGCCCTCGCGTCGAACCACTGCCGAGGTTTGTATCCTATTGGACGCTGCCTGGCGGCAATGCCAACCACCGTGGGTCCGCGGATTATGTGCGCCTGCCCCCGTCGCGAGGGAGTCGACTCAAGAACACAACCTGGCTGCAAGGCCAGCGGTCCTGCACATTCTCACGTGTAGCCGATAACCAAGGCTCTCTTTTTTGGCACTGGCTGGCGGCAGTACCAGATTTCGTGCACCCACAGATCATGCACGTTCACCCCAGTAGTTGCGAAGCAATTTGCCTCAAGGACACAGCTCGGCTGAAAGGCCGGCGGTCCTGCACATTTTTACGTCCAGCCGCTCCAAGATTCGTCCCCTTTTGAACGCAAGCTGGCGGCAATCCAGGATTTCGCGAGGCTGTTGCCTCGAGTGCACAACCCAGCGGCAAAGCCGGCGGTCCTGCACACCCTTACGTTGAGGACTCTGGATCACTTCGATCCTGGTGATCTCAAAAAATAAATCCAAATCCATCTATCAAATCTGAAGACCTGATCGAGCGCTCCACGCATGGCTGCTTGACCACGGCTTCCTCATCCATTTGTCGCAACCTCACCAATGTCGGGCGGAAGAGGCAACCACCTGACATTCAAGAGGTTGTCATGCCAAATCAACGATCCAGGTTGTCATGCCATCAGACTCCCGTTGTGACCTCTCCCCGCCATGCCGCTCTTAAAAACTGGGTCTCACGTAACAGAACCCGATCTTCCAGCAATGCGTTGGGCAGGCAGACCGATAGCGTTCGGTGTTGCACTCCGCCGCTGACCCAGGATGCGTGGAGGTGCAAGTACCCGCAGCTCCGCCCCTTCGCCTGCCAGCCGCGCAGAGCCGATACGCTTGCACGCGGGACCCAGAGATGTGGCCAACGGCTTGGCGTCAGGGTGACTCGATGGGCTTCCGCGAGAGGCCCAGTCTGACGACGTGTGCGACGTTGCGTAGCGTGAGGCCCGTCCAGAAATAAGGGGCGGTGACGCATACGCTGTTTTCGGGACGCGTTGTCTCGGCGATATGCACGCAGACTACAGATGGCAACAACTCAATCTTTCGCCCTTCGCATGTCAAGCGCACCAGAGGATCTATTGATCAAGCGCGCGCCTGAGCGTGGAGCGCACATGTGCACGTTCGGTGGCCATCCCCGTTTGGTGAGAACCTTGGCCGCGCCTCGTAGCGTCAACAGGGCACGTTGGATCCCTGAATCGAGAAGCGCGTTCCACTACTCGCAAAGAAGCTACTCGCAAATGGCCAGGATCCGCCGCAGGGGATTTACTATATATATATATATATATATACATATCACACAAAGACAGACGTATGGTTTTCTGACGTTTGCGAGTATGCACTTTGCGAGTAGTGGAACGCGCTCGGCGACTGAAGGGGGGAAATGCCTAGGTGACTGGAAAACGTTTACCTGGTTTTGGCCTTAACCATCCCACTATGTGAGATAGCGGCTTTTACACACAATGGGGGTATATCAGGGCATCGTAGTCAGAGCGTGCAATTGGCAACATCTGCCTTGCAATCGAATGTAGAGAATGCCATGGGAAAGCCTTACCACTTGACGTGGTGGTGCCGGGTGCCGGGTGCACTGGTGGTGCCATGTGCTGGGTGCATGTCCTCCTGATCAATCACCGTTTTCTGCAGGTGTGGCCGTAGTAACTTCCATGCCAATTCCTATTCACTTGTCCTCCGAACCCTGTCCACAAACTTTCCAACCTCTTCACCCTCAGAGATGCAGCAGGCGCCGATATTCAATGGAGACGACCCTGACCTCTCACCACAACCTCGAATCACCTCGCGACTCCCAGGCTCCAATTGTATGGGGCAGAGGCCACACAATCATCCAAAGCAACCTCACGAATATCAAATGGCCGCGCCGTCAACCAAAGCTTTCACGCAGTATTCTGTGACACAAGGATTCCGTCGATTATCGAGCGGCTTCCCAGCCCGACCCCCGTCCCCAACTCTAAGAACAAAACCAATCAACAATTTGAATGCAAGGATCCCAAGCTCTCTTGACTAGTTGCCCCACCGCGTGCGGCCTGGATCCAGATGGTCTCCAGGCAATATGTATCAACGGGCCACAGTGTACTAAGGTGTGGAGACTCCAGGAAACTCGTCCCACTAAAAGGGTTAAGGCGCCACATAGTCACATTACCTCTTAATTCCTCTTGCTCCTCCCTCCTCCCTCCTCCCTCCTCCCTCCTCCTCCTCCTCCTCCTCCTCCTCCTTTTCCTCCTCCTCCTCCCTACTCCCTCCCCCTCCTCTCCCCCCCTCTTCCCCCTCCTCCCTCCTCCCTCCCCCCCCCTCCTCCCTCCCCTCCTCCCTCCTCCCTCCTCTCTCCACCTTCCTCTCCTCCTCCTCCTCCTCCTCCTCCTCCTCCTCCTCCCCCTCCTCTTCCCTCCTCTTCCTCCTCCTCCTCTCCTCCTCCTCCTCCTCCTCCTCCTCCTCTCCCCCCCTCCTCCTCCTCCTCCTCCCTCCCCTCCAACTCCTCCTCTCCTCCTCCTCCTCCTCCTCCTCCTCCTCCTCCTCCTCCTCCTCCTCCTCCTCCTCGTCCTTCCCTCGCCCTCGCGCGGGCTTCAGGGATGGCCCGAAAAGGCCCTCCGAGGCCACCCCCTTGCTCCCAGAGCTTTTCTGTTCACTCTGCGGTGCTAGGCCCCCGCGACAGGTTGTGAGCTGTCCCCTAGCCATCCCTGAGCAGGAAGTTCCGCTGAAGGGGCTGTGCCCGCGGCCCCGCCCGATGCTTACTCAAGCCACTACCACGACCGCCCCTCCTCGTCCTCCTTCGTCCTCCTCCGTCCTCCTCCTCCTCCTCCTCTTCTCCCTCCTCCTCCTCCTACCTTTCCTCCCCCTCCTCCTCCCTCCCCCTCCTCTTCCTCCTCCTCTCCTCCTCCTCCTCCTCCTCCTCCTCCTCCCCATCCTCTTCCTCATCCTCTTCTCTCCTCTTCCTCATCCTCCCTCCTCCTCTTCCTCCTCTTCCTCCTCCTCCTCCTCGTCCTCGTGCTCCTCCTCCTCCTCCTCCTCCTCCTCGTCCTCCCCCTCCTCCCCTTCCTCCTCCCCCTCCTCCTGCTCCTCAAGGCTGCTGCCTGGTGCGGTAACGGAAAAAGGGTGTGGGGAGGATTCCTGCGTGAAGCAGGCGTCTGGGAGGGCCATGCCGTTATACTCCGTGGCAATGGACGGCGCCTGCGGCACCTGTCGGAGGAGGAGGAGGACCCGCATCCTGGACGCACCGACAAACTTTAGGACGGAGGCTTTTCGCAACTGTCCGAGAGTCTGGAAGTATCCATCTGCCCGCGGGCATGACTTCGCGACGTTGACTGTGTTCGGGAATGCGCAGGCAAGGACTCCGAAGGTCTGGGCCTTTGCCGGGGCCCATGTCTGCTCCGACCATGGTTCGAGAGGCCTTTCCACGCCCTCCCGGCGCCCTGCTATCCGGGTTTTGGACTCCACAAGCTTTCTGCGAGACCCCAACACATGAACAAACGAACCGGGACGAAACAGCGGGTCCCTGGGGCGGGGTCGTGAGCTCTGGGAGCCCCGTGTGGCAGAGGCACGACGTCGGAGGTCTGGGGAAGATGGGGAGAAGGAACAGGAAGAGGAACAGGCTGAGAAGGATGAGGACCAAGCAGGAGAAGGGTGGAACTTCAACGCTTGCGGTCTCTTTGGGGCCTCCTGGGGGGCCTTTGCCGCCACAGATGGATTCGCTGACATCCTGGTCGGGAGGGGGCAGTTTTGAAGGAGGGACCCCACACCTCGGGCGTCACACGACTGGGGCTTCCTGTTTTTCATCGCCCCTAAATCGTGCAGCGGTTTGGGGGGCAGGAAAATCTCCAGGAGGACTCGTGTGGTCCCCTCGCTTCCTGGCCTCTGTGGCCTCAGTTGCAACGCGCTGATTCACTGTCTGGCAGTGCCCCCGTGGCGAGGCGGATCGTTGTGCTTACAGCCGATGGCCGCGCGCGGCTGGTGGATTTGGGCGTGGGGATGCTACGCCTCTTGCTAATCTCCTTCCTCCAGGCGCGAGTGCGCGAGGATAACCGCGCCTTCAGGCGGTGGCGGTGCTGCCCCTGTGCAGGTCGTCGGGTGCTGGCGCGCCTGCCTGTGCTCTTGGACGCTCGGGGTGCGGCTCGTGCTCCTCGTCGCCACTGCCCCTCCTCGTCGCCTTCCAGGCCCCTGTCCGTGCATTCTGGCGCTCAGGGTGCTGCTGGTGCTCCTCGTCGCCACGGCCCCTCGTCGGCACGGCCTCTCCTCGTCGCCGCCAGCTCCCGTGGCCACTGCCGCTCCCGGGTTCTCGTTCCCACTCGGGTTTGTGTCCCGCAGGTCGGGCAGCCAGCCACCCGGTCGGGCAACGTTCGTTCCCGCAGGTCGGGAAGTGCGCCCGCAGGTCGGGCAGCGCCGTTTTCGGTCCCGCGGGCTGGGGGGCCAGCCGGTCGGGCAGCGTTCGTGCCCGCAGGTCGGGAATGCACCCGCAGGTCGGGCAGCACCGTTTTCGGTCCCGCAGGTCGGGGGCCAGCCGGTCAGGCAGCGTTCTTCCCCGCAGGTCGGGGGGTGCACCCGCAGGTCGGGCAGCGCCGTTTTCGGTCCCGCAGGTCGGGGAGTGCGCCCGCAGGTCGGGCAGCACCGTTTTCGGTCCTCAGGTCTGGGGGGCACCCGCAGGTCGGGCGCATTCGCGCCCGCAGGTCGGGGGCGGTCGGGCAGCAGTGTGTCCATGCCGGCGCTCAGGGGTACACCCGCAGGTCGGGCTGCAGTGCAATCGTTCCTGCAGGGGAGGCAGCGCCCGCTGCGTCGGAAACGTTTTGCCGCAGGTCGGCGGCGGTCTTCCACCGGGAGTCCCTGGCGGCCTGGCCGGCCCGCGCGGTTGGCTGTGGCCTGCGGTGCGGGCGCTCTGCGGGGCTGCTCGGGTGGTCTCGCGGTCTCTCGCGGCATCGTTTCTTGATGCTTGTGGGTTGGGCTTTCCGTTTGCGGCTTCGTCCTGCCCGGGCTGCGTCCGTGCCTGCTGCCGCCGCAGTCATCTGGCCCCTGCGTTCTGGCACTTCCACCTGCTCTTTTCGCCCTGGTTACTTGACAGCAGCCGCCCGCTGCCCAGCGTCTCGCCATGTCCTTCACTGCTGCGGAGGTCGAGGATTTCGTGCGGGACCTCCCGCAGGGGCCCTGTGCGGCGCGGAGGTTGCTGCCCAGGTCAAGTGGTGCAAATTCTTGCTCAGTGTGAACGAGTCGCCTAAGGCTCACCACGATCTCTTCTGGCACCTGTCCGTGGGCAGGCTTCTGGCGGAAAAACTTGGGACGCTTTCGCAGCTCGACATTGGCGACTCGTGCGTGCGCGAGATCATCGGGAGCACTGTCAGGCACGGCGAGAAACCCTACACTTCCGAGGCGGAGACCTCTGTCTTCCAGGTGTGGGTTGTCCAGCGGGCGCAGGTCGCCTTTGCGCGTGGGGTCCAGCGCAAGTGCGCCGCAGTCGTGCCTCAAGCTCCGACGCCTGCAAGCACCCTAGCGGGCGCGATGAATGCTTACCTTGAGGCGCAGGCGGCGAGCCACAAGCGCTGTGAAGGCGCTGTCCTTCGACCTTGCGGCCAGGCTCACCAAGCTGGGGGTGGGCAGGTTCCCCCAGGACGTCCTGCCCTCAGTGGAGAACTTGGCTGTCTTCGAGGCGGCAGGGCGCGTCGCCAGGGAGAAGGGGCGCCTGCGCGTCGGCAGCGCTGACGGCGAGGATCTTCAGAAGAACTTCCGGCCAGCGTGGTCTAGAATTCCTCGCGTCGACGTGCCCGTGGGCGACGGGTCGGTGCTGGGCCGGCAACGGCAGATGGCCGAGCTGAAGCGGGTCAGGGCCACCTCTGAGCTGGACTACCCTGGGTGCGCCACTTTCCACGCGCGCATCATGGATTGGGGCCTGCAGCTCGTCCTGACGAGGACGGCTACGCCCCTTGAGGTTCTCGGCTGCTCGATGCTGCTCAGCAGGGTCGCTGAGGAGGAGGGCGGCGTGCGCGCGGCGTGCCAATGTGATGTCATGGCTCGCGTGGCGATGGCGAAGGCCCCGGAGCGCGGCGACCCCGATTGGAACCTGAATTTTACGAAAGTCGACGCCGATCTTGCCAAGCAGGCTAAGAGCAAGGTGGGGGCCAGGGCGGCCGAAGCAGCCAGGGCGCTCGCCGGCGAAGGCGCCGGCAAGGGCAAGAGCGGCAAGAGCCGCAGGATGGTTGAGAGTGTCAGTGCCTGCCTGTTCGGACTCTCCATCGGGGTTCGGTCGCGTCGGCCTTGGGTCGGCAGGGGGGGGGGATCTGAGGCTCCAGGCGGATCCAGGCGTGGGTGCTGAGCTCTGGGAGGGGGCCTTCCGAGGCAAGGGGGGGACTTGGAGGGGGCCCTCGCTACTCACTGCGGTCGGACACGGGTTGAACTCGCCATTGCTCTGTTGGGGCGCGGCTAATGGCCGCGGAATGGTAGGGCAAGGTTTCGCCTGAGACCTGACGATGCTTTGGTGGGGTGCGGCTCGCAGGCGCGGGATGTTGGGGGATGTTTCGCTTGAGACGTGCTGATGCTCTGCAGGGGTGCGGCGAACTGCCGCAGATTGGTCGGAACGGGTGTCGTCTGCATGGTCGGCTGGGGTGCAGCTAACAGCCGCGGGATGGTGGGATATGGTTTCGCCTGAGATCTGCCGACGCTCTGCTGGGATGCGGCTAACAGCCGCGGGATGGTTGGAAATGGCTTCGCCTGAGACATGCTGGTGCTCTGCTGGTGTGTAGTTAACCGCCGCGAAGTGACTGGGCGTCGGTGCTGGGGAGACGATCTGATCTGTGCTCACCTGGGGTGCAGGTAACATCCGCGGAACCGGTGAAGTGATCAGGGTCCGATCCTTGTGCCCGATCCTCCTCGTTGGGGTCTGGGTCCGCCTGCCGTTCCACCCCGGTGCAGCAGACAGCTGCAGCGGCGTGGAGCGGGCGTGGTGGGCAGATCAGGCTACCGGAGCCCGAGAGCAGATCGGTGTCGGGTGCCTGTTCGACCGGGGGCGGAGGCTGCTGACCCTCGAGCCGACCCGTAGCATCATTCCCCCCTGCGGGTAGTGCCTGGTCGTCGGCCCCGCGGGGCCCCAGAACGGAATAGTTTTCTGGCAGCGTCGAGGCCCCCCGGCCCTGCGCTCGCTCTGTGAACTCCTCAACTGTACTGGGGCCCCCCGGAGGCCGATCTTCCATCTGCTGAGGCGCCCGCGTGTGCCACCGGCGCGGGAGGGGTGGATGGCGGCGCCGCGGCCGCGGGCAAGGGGCCGACGCGCAGCGTCGGGCGCCCCCTTGGGCGACGGGGGTGCCGTCAGATAGCTTGAGCCAGGGTGGCTACGGAGGCTGGTGGGGATGCGCGAAGCGTGAGGAATTGCTGTAATTGTCCCATGTCCGACGCTATCCGCTATCCTTGATCATGTCCGCCACCGTGCCTTCAGCGCGAAGTGGGGTGCCCCGAAGCTCGTGCAATTCAAAATGTTGGCAACATTGGCCATGTCTTAAAAGCCCAGGCCGCAACTTTGCCGGAATTCCTGGGCGCTCCCGGACCTGTCGCGCGAGCCTCCTGGACGCCCCTGGCAACGACGTCCAAACCCCTCAGGGCGGCCCAAGAAGGTCCCAGTAATACCCGAGACTGTCTAAGAGGGCTCTAAGACGATCCAACCAGTCACCGCAACACTCCAAGAGGGCCCGTGAGAGCCTCAAAGAATGTCCCAAAAGGCTGTAATTACTGATTTCACATGTGTGTGTGCGTGTGTTCCGTAGCCTGGCTCAAGATGCCCCCCGGGGGTGCCCCGCCCCGTGGGGTCAGGGCTAAAGAGCCGGCGCCTCCGTGCGCGCGCTAGCTCCCGTGGGTGGCTGTCCAGCCAGGAGCTAGCCTTTCTCGCCCACCGCAGAAAGGGCGGCATGGGGGATGGCGAGGAAGGCGCTGGAAGCGCAGACAACAGAGGCCGCGACAACTCACTCTCCCAGGCTGACATATGGCTTTCGAGACGACGTACCTGCGCCTCTTTCTCATGCCGCCCCCCTGCTGTCGGAGGAATACCCCAAAAGCGACGCTGATGCGATGGCGGACCCCCGTCGGGGGACCAATCTCTGACCGATCTGACTTGCTTAGAACGACAGCATGTCTGTGAACGCGGCTTGTGCGAACTGCAATAGACTGCGCCTGCTTCTATCATGGTTTCCACGCATGATAGAACGCGC